AACAGATTTTAATACTTATTACAACGCAATATTTGAATTCAAAGAAAAATATACATATAACACGCTCTACAAAATGAAAATTTATACGAATTTCAATCTTTGTCTTGCATTTTTTCTTCTTTTTTTTTTTTTTTTTTTACTCATACTTGACGAAGTATAGGAAAAACTCTTTTGAAATTAAAAATACAACGATACGATTCAAAAAGGGATAACCTAACCTTCAGATCAGGTAAGAAAATTCTCATCCCCCATCTCGAGGGAATTACCATCCGAGAACTCCGGGGGAATAAAATTCCAATTCGTTTGCCATCGGTATCCCAACAATCTAGCCCAGAATCGTCTCTCTTCTCGATTTCCACTTATCTTCCCCGCTTTTCCTTGTCCCGGCCTCGTTTGTTACCGCATCGAAGGCTGCGATCAGCGGGCCTGCGGCTGCGGTTGCGACCGCAACATCCGCCGGATATCGCGTGCGCCACGCTACACACACACACACAACAGCGCAACGTCTGATGCGTCTTCGTCACGAAGATAGTTAACCACAGCTCGGAAGAGGAAAGGCATTCGTGTATCGTAGACCATCTGGACGATGAATATAAAAGTGTAGAGAGGATGGGTCGAGGATAGAAAGATGAGAATGAAAGGATACGCTGTTGTAAATCGCTGTTGCAGAACTCTTACGTCTTTTCTTCGTTGGACGTTCAAGATGAAGAATTTTTTTCGATTCGATCGATTCTTTGGGGGATGGAAATTCAATAAGATTGAGGGGGATTGAGAAAGCAAGTTTGGAAAGGATTTTGAAGAAAGAGGATTAAAGAAATATTTTTTTTATATCTTATACACGTGCTGTTGGCATTTATTGTTTATTAAAAAAAGTTATTAGCCTAACTTATAATCTCAACCGAGACGTGATATATAATACAAAAGACAGAGATCAAGTGAAATTTTTCTTTGACAATTAATATAATATTAATTCTAACTTTGTATAAATTGAAGCTAACCTAACCTAAATTGTTTCAAAAAAATATCGTAAAATAATTTTTCAAATTAGAAACAGCCGACCCCACATTTCAATGAGAATCTATCTAGAAAAGTAATATAAGATGGAGCTTACATTTTAAGTAAATAATTACCAAAAATTGAGAATAATAAATGGTATTCCCGTTGTTCCACGGAATAAAATTTGCATATAAGTAAGAGGAAGAGGAAGACAAGCTTGTACTCGTCGTTCAAGAGAAAAATCGCACAAGTTGCAGGAGGAGGAGGAGGAGGGGGCGGGAAGAGGAGCAGGTGGAGAAAAGATACGGGGATTGCGAAGGAGGGAACGGATGGAACGGTGGTCGTCCTAGGGTGGAAGGCCCTCAGGTGGAAAGGGTGCACGTCAAATTGGCCGCATAAGCGTGCCCCTTTCATTGAATCGTCTAACGACCAGACATAAATTAGATTGAAAACTGGAGGATGCCATGGGGAAGAACCACCGACGATTTTCTGCATCTGGTAACCTCCTTAAAGGTCTGCGGAACGAGGACAATATGTGACCGGGGAAGAATTTTATTTCATTTTTGGCTGACGTTTTTCGATTGAATTCGCCTCGTTCTTCCTTTCTTTTTTTACGAGGCGAGAATAAGAACGTTATTTGTGAGTCGTCGTTGTTCACGACGAATTGTCGAGAAGAGTTGCTCGTTCCAAAAAAAAAAAGGTGTCGATCAGGATTCGAACAAAATGTAATAAAGATTTGGACGATTATCTTTAGCATGTTCTTTCGTGGAATTTTTCGTTTCGTCGGTTGATTACCAAAACGAAGATGAAACGAAGATGAGAAGTTGCCAAGGGATTCTAATTTCGTTGTTAATTAGATGCTGCGAAACGAGTTAATTAATCGAAGCAAAGTTTCATCGAACGTTTGAGAAAAATCTCATCGACCATTATTATCCTCCTCCCCCTCCTCTAAAGTAATTCCTCCAAAAAATTATCCTTGAAAAATGAAATGAAACGGTATCTTTTTTAAATCGAATTATTAAATGATTTTTCCTCTCTTTCGAAGTCAAAAATCTCGAGAGAGTAAGACGAAAAGGCGGTGGGCAGTGTGAAAAGATGGGGAAAATAGGATTATATCCCATTACATTTATGCTTTCTCCTCGAAGATGAGGCTTGAAAGGCATGTACACAAATCGTAAGAAGCCGCCATTGCACCCCGGGGAGTGGTAACACCGTGTTGGCTGGATGCAGTGTAGAAAGCCGGAATGTAAATGGCCGTCTTGGCAACTCGATTAATTAAATTGCCCTTCCCTCTCTCTCGTGTTTACGTTTTATTCGAGGGAGGAATTCCTTGGAAAAATCAACGATTCGATAATCTTTCGAAAATTCACAATCATAAGAATAATTTAGTTGTCACGAAAATATTTCAATTCAATGAGATCGACAAATCGAAAATAAATGAATAAAACTTTCGAAAACTTTTTTCCCATCTATCTGACCATATCTCGAATTTATTCACGAATCCAGCCGTTGTATAATAAAACCAGGCCTTGCCAACTTGTCAACTTTTCGCGAAAAATTCGAAAATTCCCCGGTGGATGAAAATTGCGAGAAGAAATGAACGGGTGATCAACCGAATCCGTGTCCCCTCCCCCAACTTATGGAAAGAACGGATCTGTCGCCATAACAATAATCCGTAAGAACCGGCGCGGGGTTATAAAGACGAAAATCCATGTTCCCGATCGCCGTTTCCACGAACCGATACGCGCCGCTTTATCGTCCGTTTCCACGACGCCGTAAGGGGGAATGCATTTACTCTGGACATTGAGCACTCTCCCCCTTTTCCTCCTCGATAACAAAGTGAACGCGTTCGAACCTTTGAATAAAACAAGCGAGGAGGAGGAGGAGGAAATTGTTTCGAGGCAAGGAATATATTTGGCCGAGTTATTCTTCTTATTCCTCGATGGAAATTTTGAAATGATCGTCCCTTCGTTTTGTCCCATCTACATTCGACAACAATCTCGTGTGATTCATTCACACATGTTGATTCTGAAGCGCGCTAATTTAATTCGTTTCATCTTATGTTAAAAAGATGTATGTCTTCGTATGCGGATCGATGTTGCTGCTATTAAGATCGATTGGCTGCGGTTTATTCGTTTCGTCTTGTTATAAAAAAAAATATCATCTTCATATGTAGATTAATGTTGCTGCTATTAAGACTCGAAGTGACAACAATTTAATTCGTTTCAAATCTTATTTTAAAAAAAGTATACATCTATGTGCTTATATTTCTGTTACGCTATTAAGATACAATTTATTCGTTTCGTCTTATTATAAAAAAAATATATCTTTATATGTAGATTGATGTTGCTGTGTTATATTTCCGTTATGGCATCAACCACGTTCGTTAATTAATTATGAGGGGCGCCTATTTTAACTTGTTGCACATGGCAACAATTTATTCGTTTCTTCTAAAAAGATATATCTTCGTGTGTTACATTGCTGCTATTCATCTTATTGTAAAAAAATATATATGTAAATTGATGTTTCGTCTAAAAAAATATATCTTCATACGCAGATTGCTGCTATTAAGATCGATCGCTCGAGTAATTGCAACAATTTAGTTCGTTTCATCTTATTATATATATATATATATATCTTCATATCGCTGTATATTATATTTTCGAATACTATTAAGATCTATTAAGATCGATGATATCGATTGGCTGAGCACAATTTATTCGTTTCATCTTACTATAAATACCTGCATGATATCTTTGCACGATTAGAGATCGATGTTGCTGCGTTGTATCGCCGCTACGCTATTAAGATCGATCGCCCGAGTGTTTGCACGCGACAACAATTTAATTCGTTTCGTCTTGTTAATAAAAAAAGATATACGTGATATCTTTATGCGTAGGTTGATGTTGCCGTGTCATATCGCCGCTATTAAGATCGATTGCCCGAGTGTTTGCACGCGACAACAATTTAGTTCGTTTCGTTTTATTAGTAAAAAAAAAAAAAAAAAAAAAAAAATAATACGCGTAGATCGATGTTTCTGCTATTATAAGACGCGCAGCATCTCGCCCTGATCCTTCCTCCTGTATGAAAATTATAAAGATTTCAAGCTTATTGCGAATAACTACTCTCAATCAGAAACATTTACAAAAATATTGCCATAAAAATTATCGAGTGGCCAACAACTTAGACGCACAAATCAAATCAAAATTAATAAACGTTATTAATCGACAAATCGATTAATAAAATTGTATTTACGACGAGGAAGAAATGGTAAGACGACCAATGAGACGCACGTGTCGTTATGAACTGGACACAGATTTCACGGTTCTCGTGAAACGAGTAGAGGGGGGGGGAGGAGGAGGAGGATAGAGTCGTGAAGGGATTACGCCCAAAGTTAAGAAACGTCCTGATAAAATAAAATCTTAATCCCGGCCACCGAAGATTTAAGATCCTCTACCCTCGTTTCCCACTCCTGTCCGGGCCAACCCTTGGCCATTCTCCTCTTTTCCTCCTCCTCCTCCTCCTCCTCGCTCTATCTCTCTTCCACCTTGCTCCCCTTTGTCGACCATTGCCAGCTTTTACGGCTTACTGGCTCGATTATTAGACGTGTCTCGTTTTCATGAAACAACCCCCCCACCCTTCTCGCTTTCGTGGCCCCAGGCTTGTATTAACCTGTAATTTTATTACCACGGTATTGCGTGTGAGAGGCAAAAGAGTTTCTTTTTCTTTTTCCTTTTCAATCTCCTCTCACGAGTTCGGTAAATTTCACTCGCAGGGTTGTTTCTTCAGGTTTCTCCCCTCGAAGGGGATCTTTTTAACAAAGAGAGAGAGAGAGAGAGAGAGAGAGAGAGATTTCAAAGTTGTAAAAAGGCGAAAAAACTAATGCATATCTATTTTTTCTGGAATCCTTCCTTTTTATGGAAAGGGAGATTACGATGAACGTTCGAGAGAGAGAAAAATCATGTTTCGAACAATGTCGTCAAGCTTTTACTCTCCTTTTGCAGCACCAATGGCTACGTGTGCCTGATGTTCCACAGAAGGGACAGCCACATAATAGAGATGCAACTGTCGGAATGGAGCCAGCAACCCGACGACGTGTGCAACTCGAGTACGTTCAACTCCCACTCGACGCCGTACACCACGTTCATCAGTAAGTCAATTACGATCATTTATTAACACTAACTCTGCGTATCCTGCAATTCACTCGCCGCCATTCTCCTCTTCTTCGAGCATCTCTCGAGGAGAAAGAAAGGAAGGGAGGATTTCGCTTCCTCTCTCTCTCTCTCTCTCTCTCTGTGAGAA